GACGATAACCATGTAATTGAAACTAAAGAGGCGAATACAAATTTACAAAATCCATCTGCAAAAAATTCATCAATTTCACCAATTATTCAAAAGAATTTATCGAAAAGTTCTCAAATAAAAAATTCTATCACGAGTAAAATGAATGCTACAAACACTTTTGTAAAAAATTTACGAGATTTTATCAGTCGTCGTAAACCAAAAGCTTTAAGTCGTCAATTCTTAATAGATCCGGATCATAAAGGGCCTATTTTAGATCTTCAAACAAATACTCCTTATGCAAATAATTCCATTACTACATCACGATATACGTTATTAAACTTTCTTCCCAAACAGCTTTATGCACAATTTTCTAGAGCTGCAAATCTTTACTTTTTATTTATGGCCGCTCTTCAGATCGTACCAGATTGGTAAGTTTCAAAAGAAAATTCTTTTAATTGAATTATTAATTTTTTAAATATTTGTTTAATTATTTTTTTAATTATTTGTTTAATTATTTGTTTAATTTATCATCTCTTTTTTCAAGGTCTCCTACTGGTCAATTTACAACAATAGTTCCTCTCAGTATATTCATTTCTCTATCTATTGCTCGTGAAGGTTTCGATGATTATCGAAGGCATAAACAAGATTTTGTTGAAAATAATAAAGAATGCACTGTAATGCGTATATATAATCCAAATGGTCGATTTGCTGTACCTACGCAGGTCAAATGGAAAGATTTAAAGGTTGGTGATTTGATATCAATTAAGGCCCAAGAATGGATTCCTGCAGATCTATTATTACTTTCTTCTAAGGGTGAAAATGGCGTGTGTTATGTTGAAACTGCTGCTTTGGATGGTGAGACAAATTTAAAACAACGTAAAGCTTTGGAAGAAACAAATTCATTGTTGAATTCACCTGAGTCACTTTCAGAGTTCAGAGGTACATTATATTATATTCTGTGATTGCTATATTTATATATTGTAAATTTATATGTAAACCGTTACAATGTTTTTATAGGAAAGTTGTGTGCTGAAGGTCCTGATCAGGATTTATATAATTTTAATGGTTATTTGGAATTCAATGACAAAATTCTTCCGTTATCCAATAATCAAATCTTGTTAAGAGGTACTATATTACGTAACACTACAGAAGTATATGGACTAGTAATTTTTACCGGTGAAGAAACAAAACTTCGTATGAATGCGTCTAAAAATATTCGAACAAAAGCTCCTAATATGCAAAGAATATTGAATCGTGTCATTTTTATCATTTTCTTCATTGTCCTCTTATTGGCTGCTACATGCACTTATATGTCTTCAAATTGGATAAAACGTGGTAGAGAAAATAATTGGTACTTGAGAGAAAATTTCCGAGATATGGTTACAGTATTTTTTTCTTTTTTGATTATTTTCAACACCATGATACCGATATCTTTATATGTTACTATGGAAGTTATTAAGCTTGCTCAAATA